AGCATGGGGCAGGAGGACGGGATGAGACCGGGGAGCTGGGTTGGCTCTGGTACCTCAAGGACCTTGGGGGTCTCACTCGGAAATTCAGACTTGACGCTGTGGGTGGTGGGGAACGACGGCAGGGTTTCAGGAGTGGAACAAGGTGGTCTGATTTGTATTCTAGAAAGCACACTGGCAGGCACACAGGGGATGGATTGGGTGTTACGACTGTCCTGGGGAGAAATAATGGTGCCCAGAGCCACGGTAGTGGCAGGTGGAGTAGAGTGAGGTGGGTGATTCGGGGGTTTATTTGGAAGGCTGATGCAGGTGAGGAGGATGGCAGGTGAAAGGGAAGAGGAGAGATGAGGAAAGGCAGGATCCAGTGGCTTTGGAGTAGCAGCACTGTGGCTTCGGGACTTGGTGACTCAGGAGCAAGCTCTCAAAAGAGGCAGGAGGAGGGCTCACGATGGCAGCAAGTGAAGAAGGGGAGCAGGAGGGAGCCGCTGAGGGAGGTTAGGCCCGAGGAGTGGGGCTCCCAGGCCTCTGTGGAGGGAGAGCTAGTAGGGAAGGGAGCTCCAGATGGGAGTGTTGTCCTTGGCACTTGCTGGGGGGAAGAGGCTCAGGGCTCCCAGGTATCCCTCCTTCGGAGGCCTGGGCTCAGGTGCAGGGAGCAGGTGGCCTGAGCCGGGGCTGTGTCTGGGTGCAGTGCGGGGTTGGCCCGGGGCAGGGCGCGGGGTGTCTAGGGCACGGGCGGGGGTGGGGGCTGCAGCTCCTCCGGGATTCAGAGGAGCCCGCAGGGGAAGCCGTGTGTGTGCTCAGGGCTCAGCATCCCGCCGAGGGGGTTACTCACTGCTGACTCAGACCCAGGTGCTCATTTGCATGTTATTCATTTCAGGCCAAAATGAGCAGGAATACCAGGAGCATCTCATCCCCTTTCCAAACAGAACCGCCCCAGACCTTCCGAGGGCTCCGGCTGTTGTGCTGAGTCCCTCTGACTTAGACGTATGTCCTTTTTAAAGGGCTCTGTTCAGTCATGCCCACTCGGCTGTCTGTGAAATTGAGCTGCGAAAGACAGGAAAAAAACATTCAGGACGTTCATTTCCTCTCTAAGAATATAGAGGTAAATTTTAACTCTAGGTTAGGTGCTCCGAGCACAGCCCTTCCTCCTGTCAAATACTGTGTTTTTGTTTATTGGCCATCCCCCCAGAAGGTACCGCACGAGGACAGGAGCGCTGCATTGTATGCCTGTACCTCAAACGGAGCCTGACACACAGCAGCTGCTTCACAAACACATGAGGTGATGACAAGTCCCCTTCCGAGCACTTTCTCTAGGCCTTGCAGCCCTCGGCCCCTCACAGCGGAGGGAAGGGGGACCGTGAGAGGCGGAACACTTCCCTAGCTTAATCAGATCGCAGGGGAGGGGAAAGCCTACTTAGGAGTTTATCGGGTGGCTCCTCCCGTGAAACCGATTCATGCTAACCCGACCCTGACCAGGACATCCCGGACAAGAAAAGGCAAATGTACTGATTTCCACTCAAATATAAACAGCTTCCAAGGAGCTGAAATGCTCGGGCCAGCTGGCCAGCTCAGTCTGTCCCCAGTAGGACAGGGCTACTAAGGAAGCCCAATGTCCCCGAGGGTGGCTGGGAGCCCGCGCAGAGTCCAGTACTCTCAGGGAGGCCATGAACCAGCTCCACGATCTGGACACACGGAAGACCTGTTGCCGTTGGCCTGTCAGGGTCCCTGCCGCCCACCCTCCAGCTCACCAGGACAGCCAGCCACCAGCCTTCGGCCTCCTTCGGTCCTTCCGACTCTTCCTTTCAGGAACAATACTTGAGCGACTGAATGGAGCTCCTTCATTCCCACTCCACACACGGTTCTCACCAACTCTCTCAGTTAATTGTACCTTGTTGACAAGGGGAAACCCTACACATGGCAGGAAGTCACCTTGCAACAATCCTGACCACAGCATCCGGGGAAGGCCACCTCTCTGTGAATCTGGCCCTGTGTTTGGGTCGCTGCTGGCTTGAGCCACTGGGTAAGGGGGTATACCTGCCCTGCCTGTGATCTAAATTTTGGGTGTCTGTGTTATACTTCTGTTGCCCACAGCTAGAGGGCTTGGGCTTCAAGCCCCGGGGGAAGTATGATGAGCGAAAAGTAGTCAAAACCACTCTGGGGAGGAAAGAGCCCCATGGCTCAGTCAGCATCCCTGCTTGTAAGTGGACCGTCCAAGAATCAGAGGAGAATCCAGGTGCCCGAGAGTTTCTTTGCTAACTAGAGTCCCTTAATTGTTCATACAGAACAAGGCATGACTTTGTTTTTTTGCTACTACTCAGTAGCTTATTTTTAAGCAGAACAGGAAAAAAAAAGTCCAATTCCCAGGGCCTGGGCCAGAGCAGAATAACCACTAACAAAACAGCTGTTCACATGGCCGACGCTCATTCCCGTTAACTGTTTTAGTTAAAGGACTGGCAGGAGAGGAATTCTGGCTGGCCCTACAGGGAAACCATTGCGAGGTGCTCACCGAAGGCAGCGGCCGACGCGATGGAGCGCAGAGCAGAAGCTACCGGGGGCTTGGCCGTCTGAAAGCAGAGCAAGAAGGCGGACCCTCAGCCAAGCCAACCGCCCATATTACATCTAAAGCAGCTCAGGAAGCCAGAGAGGCGTACCAGTTTCTTTAATTAGCAGTTTTCCATTCTCTTAATCCACAAATCCGTGAGCCCAGGTCTCTTCAAAGATGTTAGATGCCGACCAGGCGAACGTGTAAATGCGCCATCTGCAACGTGAGTACGGACTGCTCAGTCCTAGGACTACAGTGACTCCCACAGATTGCAGGAGCTGCGAGCTAGGGGTGACTACGAGCAGCAGTTCGATCCCTTCGATTGCAGCGCGGGGCAGCGGCTCCCAGGATTGGCTGGAGGGTCACGCGAGCTTGGGCCTGAAGAGACAGTTATTGGGCCCCTCTGGACCTGTTTCCCCATCTGCTCAGCAGGGGTAATGGTGCTTATCGGGTGTTGGAAAAACGACATGTGATATTACACGCAAAGCATGTGGTACATAGCACTGTAGACGGTAAATGCTCAGAGAATGTGAGCTTTCGTCCCAGGTCTGTGAAAGCCCAGTAAGGTGCTGTTTGGTCTCGCCACGTTGTCCTATAAATCTCTACATCTCATGGTCATACCTATGAGAAAGTAACTTTGTGGGGCGCCTGGGTGTCTCAGCCGGTTCAGTGTCCAACTCTTGGTTCCAGCATAGGTCATGATGTCGGGGGGGTGGGATGGAGCTCCTCATTGGGCTCCATGCTCAGCAGGGAGTGTGCTTGAGGTTCTCTCTCCCTCTCCCCCTGCTCATGTGTGCTCTTTATCTCTAAAATAAATAAAATCTTTAAAAAAAAGTAACTTTGTAAGTAGGACTTTCAGAAAAGAAAAGCTATTATGAAATGTTATTAGGCTTTAAGTAACTGTCAAGTTTTGACTCTCAGCATCCTCAGGCATCCCAGATTTTTGGTTAGGAGTCCGTATGTTACTCAACATTAGAAAGCACTGCTTTATTCCATAGCATTATTTTTATTATTAGCTAGAACCCACTAATTAAACCTTTTCTCAATCTCTTTTTTGAGGAAATACAGACTTGCTGTTTTTCCTAGAGCAACATTTGGGAATATGCTGGGCTGGACACACATTTAATGCAATCACCTCCATTTCCTGCCTCTACATCTTCGATTTCAATATCAACAGCTGGGCAAAAGAACAGTGGATCCTATAAGATTTCCAGAGATTCAAATGTACTGTTTTCTGGGGCAGGGAATGGGCTGATCTATTATGGGTTTTTCTATCATCTAAGCATTCTATTTTGTTTGTAGAAGGTGGGTACTGGATGACCAGGAGAAAACTGCTCCAAACCTGGAGCTGACTGGAGGCATAGGGCTGGCCAGGCAGGATCAGAAGCAAAAGCAAGGAGAATCCTGACCCTTTCACTAGCTATGACCTCGGGAAAAGCACGTGTCTGAGCTTCAGTTTCATTCATATAATGGGGATGATGGTGCTCACATCATAGGACTGGTTCAGATGAGGGCAACACACAAATGAGAAACCCCACTAACCAGGCTGCTTCAGCCAGAGGGGCGCTCACTCCTCTACCACCTGCTGGGTACATACCTGTCTGAGCATTGCCCCACTCTTTCTTACTCCAGCTCACGAAGGCTTCTGCCTTGTCCTCAGCACCCTTCTATGCTCCCCATGTCCATGACACCGGGACACATTTCCTAGCATTCCAAGCACTGTGAAGAAACCATCCTTCTTCCTCCCACCCAGGGACTGAGGAACGGGCCATACGTCACACCCCAATAACTTTCCATGAAACAGAATTGAAGTTAGTTTAAAAACTGATTACAGTGAGGCAGTGGGCCTGGTGGGGTGGCGGGGGGGATGAACAGGTGGAACACAGAAGAATTTGCATGGTACCAATGGCATGGGGGACACAAGCCATTATACACTGGCCCAATCCCAGAGAATGCACAAGAGTGAACCCCTGTGTAAACCACGGACTTTGGCTGACAATGATGTGTCAGCGTAGGTTGTAGTCAGCACTTTAACAAATGTACCCTCTTGGGGGGGTGGTGTTGATAGCAGGGAGGTTATGCAGGTGGGGGGACAGGGGTAATGGGAAATCTCTGTACCTTCTCTATCTTTTTTTAAAAAGATTTATTTATTTCAGAGGAGGGGGGAGGGACAGAGGAAGAGAGAGAGAGAATCTCCAGCAGACTCGCCGCTAAGCACAGAGCCCAAGGCAGGGTGTGATCGCATGACCCTGAGATTATGACCTGAGCAGAAATCAAGAGTAGGATGCTTAACCAACTGAGCCACCCAGACGCCCTGGATATCTCTGTACCTTCTGATCAAGTTTGCTGTGAACCTTAAACTGTTGTGAAAAATAAAACCCATTAAAAAATTGATTTTACACACACACACACACACACACACACACACACACACTCTTCTACTGAGATGCGCTGACAAATATGACAATTTAAGAAACCTAACTCTTTATTTAACACCAAAGCTAACATCAAATGTTTATTTAAAAAAATAATGGCACCAGCTTTGAAGAGGGTGACAATCTACAGAGAATTTACAATTGTAGGCTGACGTGGAACTACACAGTATCTCACAAAATGGAAATTCTGCAAAAGACCTCACAATGAACATTTCTAGTTTCCATTTTCAGAACTGCCAACTACTGCCTAAACATATCTTAAACACAGAGCACGTTCTGTTGAAATATTTCTCTTAGGACAAAGACAGGAGACACGTTTTAAATAAATTAAAATTGCAACATATACATTATTCCTAAAACAATCAAGGTACATTACTTTCCAGCTTCTTATGAACAGAGAATTGCACTGACTTTAGAAAATTATAGGTTAGATCTGCTTTGTATCTTCTGGGTTACCAAACTCGTGTTAACTGTACCTTTTAGTTTCTTAACTACTTCTGATTGTAAATAGGCCAATATCATTCTTTTTGGTGATTTATCTCTTTAGACCAACTCCTTCCTTAGCACATGGGCTAAACTTTTTGAAACACCTCTCTCCAGATAAAGCTCTGAATTTTAAATAATGCCATTTCGCTCTTCCCCTGGCTCACTCCTCAAAATTATAGAAATACGCAAAATAGGTTAATTACACATGTTCATATTAACAAGCATCTTGAAATGCTTTTCCAAACCAATACAACTATACTTAGATTCAACACAAAGATGTTCCTGTTTGATGCAAAACGTTTTGGTATTTAAAATCCAACCCAAAAGGACACAAATAATCAGGTGCCTGAGGGAATCCAATTCCCGTCACTGTTATCGATCCCATAATTAAACCTGATATGCTGGAGAAATAGCAGGGCAATCAACATACCTAGCAGGGCAATATTTCAATGAAAACAAGAGTGACACAGCAGAAGGGCTGAGGTCCCATGGATGCTAACTGACGGAAAGGGATGACTGCGTTATGGGAGAAGGGGCAGGGAGTTTCCGAAAATCTCAGTCTATCAATAGTTCATCGTGATCACAGAAGCAAAACCACTAATGGTACATGCTAGAAACTTGGGACTGATCCTACTCTCCATACAAAACCAGCAATGGAGGACTTTTATTTACTGCTTCATTGTGTTTTGAATTTGGGGGGTGGGGATGGGTAGGATGTTTTGTTCTGGCTTCATCATACTCAAGACGTAAGCTGCAATAACTAACTTAAAGCCCACAGAAGAGTATTTTTGGGTTTTTGTTTTGTCCCCAGCAAACTATCATTATCTTGGTGATCATGAAAATAGTATGTCACAAAAAAATCCTGTGCTAGAATGCAACGTCCAGTTTGCTAAGTGAGCAGGTGCCTGCCCATCTCACAACTGACTGTGTCTTCAGGTACGTACAAGATGTTTCCTACCGATGAAAGGTGGGGAAAAAGGATTCGTTGACTTAAATATAAATAAACAATTCCAGGATATGTCCTAGCTGGATCACAATTTTTTAATTGAATAATTTATAAAATTGGATTTAATCCCCTTACACAGGAAAGAAAACACATAACGGGAAGGTTTATTCCTTAAGAAGGGAACAGTAAACTACAGAGAGTAAAGGTCTCCTTGGAGTATATCAGCTTATTAAAAAGCTTCATGAACTTTCAAGAAGACTCTAAAATAAATATGCCATGTAGGTTGAGCACATCCAAGTGAAAATAAGGTTATTTGACATCTAATGAGAATCACTGGAAATACAAATTCTGTGCAAAGAAGTCATGATCAGGTGGGATGATTTAGACCCTGGAATATTTCAGAACAGAGCCAGTTTCTAGCAGCTTCTGTTAACAGCTCCAGACTGGAGGGGTTGGCGTGTGCTGTTTTCCATTTTCTTCCCTCCTCTCAGTGGGGAGCAGGCCTGGGAAGCGTCAAAGCCAAGGCTGAGTGGAACGTGGTGGCCTGTGGGTTAGACTTCTCACTCACTCTCTCTAAACTAACAGCAGCAGCTACGTCCACCGCAACCCCTAGCATCTCCAAAGTGCCTCAGAAAGATTCACAGACATCGAGAGGCGCCCACCAGGATCCAACTTGACCCAAGGGAAGTTACATCCAGCCCTCGGCCAAATGGAGCCTGATGCCCACAGGTAAAGGGAATATAGAAGCAAAAGGAAGCACACCATTCTTTCTCCTTCTCTTCCCTGGATCTGGAACTCTTTTCTGTCCCCTGTATGTGACGGATCACAGTGTATTTAGAGCCAACTGGGCAGAACAAGGGAGAGTCTGACAGCGGAAGGGGACACAGCCACGAGATGGGGGTGGGGCTGGTAGCTCCTTCCTCCCTGAATCCAAAATCCGTACGGGCAAAGATGTCACATAATGATGCTTACCATTTTATAAAGCTCGAGTCTGGAATTAGATAGTGGGCATAGTTGCATAAGTTTGTGAATTTACTAAGAACACTGAACTGTAAAGTTAAAAAAAGAAGAAGAAAGCTTGAGTTGTCTGAGTCTCACACACACTGGACTTGTACCAAATGCTTGACTATTCCATTCTCTCAAACCATGGCACACTGTCACATTTTTTTCAGGAGGTTTCCCTAAGAGCAGCTGTTCGCAAAATATTGCACTTAATTTAAATCCAGGCAATTCGATGTTTTCTGGAAGAAAATGTACACTAACATACATCTTTACGCCTTCAGATAACAGAGCGGATGGTGGGAGGAAGGACCGAACAGCAGTTTCCATTAAAATCTTCTATCTTCGTCTTCGTTAGGTACAGAGAGAAAAAGATTTAAAGGGAAGTATCGTCTGAGAGAAAAAGATTTAAAGGGAAATATCATCTGGGCTGGAAGTAGTGAGCGCATCGCCCCAACAGGCAGAAGCTGTTAACCTTTGAAGGGTTTCACCTCAGGGGAAGAAGCGTGGCCACTCCATTCCCGTGGCACTTCAGTGAGATCCTAAGAGACAATGGACAACCAGACACCAGGTCTAATTTATCGGATTGCGGCTGGTCTTAACGGGGTCCTCAGAGGACCCTCTCAGTCTTCATCTGACTGCCACCCCCTAGACCACATGCCCTGTCTTCCTCCTGCTTCCAGTGCCCCTACCTCGGTGGACTTTCACCTCACACAGTACAATTCTGTTGTCCTTCTTAAAGACAAAAAAAAAACCCACAGCATGAGCATCATTTGTTTTCACATGTGCAGTTAAGCTTTACAATCCCTCCCAAGACCGTGAATAAAGTAAATCACATCCTCACAGGGGGTTTATCACAATTAAGATTTGCTGCAATGCAAACCTCCAGAGTGGTGCTTATGGGAGCCTACACTCATGTTCGAGCCATAGTTTGACGTGGGATTTGGAAGCATTTCTACGTGCCTGAAGGCGAGGCGTTCGAGAGCCACTTAAGATAGAATCGGGCATGTGGCTCCCTGGGTGTAAGAAGGCAAAAGCCTCACTCATAGATCTTCCTGTCTTACCATTTAAAGTGCAAGAGAACATCTAAGTTAGACTTCTATGGATAAACAGGTGTGCTGTAAGATTTCCACGTTATGGCGAGTCCCACACAATGGACCACCGTACCCAAGGGGAACACATGGGACCTAGTAGTGTCCTGTGTGGACCAGCGGAATGGGTCACACAGGATTTACTGTACTTCCATAGGCCCCAAGTGTCCACCGTGGCCAACAGCTGCATTTCGTCCCTTGCCCAAGTCCTGCCACATCCTTGCTGCATACAGGACTCAGGCAAAATGCCGCCACCAGCCACTGTGAAGTTCAATTTTGATGGAAACTTAAGGGAGACAGAGACTTAACACCCTGTTTCGTGTGGCTCATTAATTACGCCAAACGCTCGATGACCAGAGGTTTACCATGCTGGGCTAGTCAGGTGGGCAGGAAATCTGGTCTGATTAAGGCAGTGAGCAACGTGGGGCGAGCTCTGCAACAGGTCCACATTCACCGAGTACAGGGGCGAACCTGGCAGCTACCACGGCGTGAGGGGACAGAGATATTTACAACGCACAGCCCAGGCCTGGTCGGCTCGAGTCAGCACAAGTGTTCGCTTTAAAATTTGGTAGTATGCACAGAGTTGTCTTTAACACAGAAACGTGAAAGAACGTGAAGACAAGAGCCGGTGGCTTCATCTGGGTATTATGATCCTTTCTATGGCACACACGATATGGTCCCAGTTTTTACAAAATATTGCAAGAAGCGTCACAGCGAAGAAGGTGCCAAGGATGTGGAGGCGGCTCCTCATCATGGGCGAGACAAACTTGGCGATGGTAGACACGCACACGAGGACGACTGTCATGAAGGCCAGGATCACGTTGATGCACTTCCCCAGGAGGACCTTGGCGTTCACGGCGTCTGTCTGCAGAGCCTGCTGCTCTTGCTGGTGCAGCTCCAGCTTAGAGACGCGCGTCTGGCAGGACTCCAGGGCTTCCTGGGGGCAAGAGGGACAGCGAGGGTCAGACGCTGCGGAGACCAGGGGCAACATGTGAGCGCGTGCTTAGACATGCGTGAAGGCCCCCAGCTCAGGATGCTCGATGCCAAGGCAGCTGCCAACAGCCAAGCGGACAGCGATGATGATGATGATGATGATGATGATGATGACAAACAAGTAAAACGAGAATCCCCAGGCTCATTTATTCTGTTGTTCTTGACAGAATGAGCATGTGTATGCAACCATAAACTACCATCAACGGGGGCTTAGAGCTAAGTGTGTTGAGCCTATTTGTATTTGAAATAAAGTACATAAAATATTGGCATGGTATCCTTGGGGACAAACGAGAGGAGTGGTGGGGTTCCATTTTGGGACACTGGACGACCTCCGGCCACACAGCAGGTGGTATCTCCAACTGCTAGTCCTTATTTCCACTGCTCAGACTGTGTGTGCGGCCACTTACAGACTCTGGAGGACGAAGGGAGAAGGGATGGGGACAGGACAGACGGTGGGCAACTCTGCTTTCATCTGCTCTGTGAATGCACTGTCCAAGGCTACACATTCTCCCTAGTTCTCATTCTTTCTTAACACTTCAATTACTAAGTCACAGCTGACTCCAAGTATCTCTCTGGCCCAGTCATCTCTTGTGAGATTGACTCACATATCTACATGCCTCCTTGATATTCCATTTGAGAGAGAGAGTGAACGAGAGAGAGAGAGAGAGCATGCATGGGCGGGGG